ACTAGGAATGTTGTATTTTGTGTTTGGTTGGTTTAGCAGGAATGTAAGATTACCGTGTTTGGTTAAAGGAATAAAATATTATTGGAATGTATATTTGACAAAAATGTCATTATATATTTGTATAATATTACAAGTTGTAAAATATTTATATATTTTCTTTTAAAAAATAAATTCATAATATTTATATATTTTTTTACAAAATTAAAAATATAAAAATGTTTAATAAATGGTAAAATTTTATTTTAACCCTGAACTTCATATAAAAAATTTAATTATAATTTTTTTTATAAATCTAAAATAATTTAAGGATAAATTTGTAATTTAACCTTCGTAGAATTTTTATTATTCAATGACAGAAGAATGATATTTTTGAAGAAAAAAAATTAAGGGCATTTTAGTCCAAAACGCCGGTAATGTTTCAATACCTAAGGGAAGGGAGGTAATGACATTTCCGGTAATATAACAAAAAAAATACTATTAATAATAAAACATTACCGGGAATGACATTCCCGCCAAATAAATGGGGAAATAATTTCATTCGAGAGAATCCTATATTCCCATCCAAACGCCCCCTTAGGTATTTTTTTAGTGGAATGAGGTAAAACCGATTACGTGAACGCTTTATACTCAAATGGGGGATCATAGGTATCTCTGTGGATAATATCCAGAAGTTGGGTCGGGTATGATTCAAAAATGACAAGGAAGCCATCAGTTGGAGAATCCATCCCTGTTATGAAGTCTGCTGCGCCATTAACTTCTCGATAAACCTTACGAAATTCAACGAACCATGAACTATTACGTAGGCGTGCAATTTCTCTCACTAAAACGAAGGGGTTATTCGTGGCCAGGGGTGAGAGAAGAGCGAAAGCTTCAGTATTATCCATCTGAAGAATAAAACCCATGTTGCCATGGGAGTTTCAAGCCTTAAAAAATGCCCTATATTTCTGCTTCCAGAATAGAGGTAATGCCAATGTATTTGCGAAAACCAAGCAAAGCATCGCATGTTGCAGTGCGAACGAGACTTCCAATAGAACCTTGATGGGAGGCATGGGAAAAGCTAACATCAGTATTCATGCAAAACCATCCAATATCCGAAGGCATCCATTGAAGTTGGATAGTTTTCGGGGAAGTAGCAGCGTCCAATTGATAATTGGCTTCAGAATAGAACTTACTCCAAGAAATATCAGTGTGAAAGCAAGCAGAAGTGTCAAGGGGAATACCTTGGAAGATCTAGGCGGCTTTTCCACAATTGCCAAATGATCGAGGAGAATAAAATGTTCCAAGGACCATAAGAATCATTGCACTCAAAATGGGAACACAGATTATGGTTGAGCCAGGAGTCTAAAGGGAGCTCGAAAAAGTCCTGTAAACCAATTTTGTCATTAAATCACTTCAAATGTTTCGTGTGGATGGGCAGTCTCGAAGGATATGAAGGAGGGATTCGTTGACATGATTACAGGTAAGACAAGATGGGTCAAAACCGATCCGTCTAGCACAACGAATTTGATTCGTGAGGAGTTTATCCTGGATTGCAAGCCAAAGAAAACCCTTGATATGTTCCGGCACCTTGAACTTCCAAATCAAATTCCATTGGGAGTTTTTGCTCGATCAGTTCATTTTGTCAAGAGAGCCATACACATTACGAACAGAGAAGCGAAACCTCCAATCTTCCTTCTAAATTATTCGATCGGGACCAACATTTTACGACAGAGGATGAAGGCTTTGAATATACAACAACACTGAAGGAACAAGAATATGTTGTAATAAAAGCCAATTACCGTCCCCATTTTGGCAAACCATATCACAAAGCTTCCAATTATCTGTTACCGTAGCAGTATCTGAGGCATAATTGGATAAAATACCAAGATTAGGAACCCAAAGATCATGCCAGAAATCAATAATATTCCTATTACCAATAAACCAAGCCGTGTTGCTATGAAAAAACGACCAAATGTTACAATTAAGCGGCAAAAAGGAGAAAAATTCGGTCTTGAAATAGATGTCGGGCAGATGGTCAAGATTATGTATTTTCCCCGAAGTAATCGGATCTAAAGAGCTTTCGGGGTCTGGACGATAGCATTGCATATCTTGAATAAGAAGGCAAATTTCTGAAATTTCATTTTTCGAAGGCCAATGCCACCATGGGAAATCGACTGACAAAGCATGCTCCATTTTACAAGCGAAAGGCGTGAAGATGTGGCATTCGCACCTCATATGAAACGACAAACCAAGCTTTCAATTTTATCACAAAGTGAGATAGTCAATTTATAAGATTGTTTAACAAAAGTAGTAATGCTTATCAAGACCATTTTTGCCAAAGTTAATCTACCAGTAAAAGATAAGGAGTGGGGGCGACCACCATCAAGTTTTTGTTGAACTTTATCAAGAACGAAACGATAGAGGTCTTTCGTGTCTCCGGAATGACAAACTGGAACACCTAGATATTTCCACAAACTAGCCATTTCTTTGTATCCAAGCTTCATACAGATGGCATCCCGAAGAATAGTGGGAGTATTGAGGGGAAAATGGTTGTCTTTTGCTTACAAACCTTGTGATTGGAGTGCATCCCAAAATTTTTAAGAGTAGATTCGATCAGTGTTATGCATGTTGGCCTTAGCATAAAGGATGAGATCGTTTGCGGAAAAAAGATGTGAACTAGAGTGCTATTCCTTGCCAATTTGAAAGTCGACTAACAACCAGATGAAACACAAGCAGAGATACAGTGACTCAGACGTTCCATAGTTAAGATAAATAAATAAGCACTTTGTTGGATACCCTTCCCCGACTTTAAAGGATGAGACAAACAACCATTTCATTGAAGCTGAATCTCAAAAGAAGATATATTCAACATAATAAGGTTAACAAGCCTTTTTGCAATACTTGTACCTATTAAAGTGTGCTCAATAAAATTGTTAAGATTTGAAGGCTCTATGAAATCAACAGAAAAAATGGGCAAGAGGGGGTGAATCAGCTTTCTGAAAATTTTGGGAATTAAGGAGAACGGATAGTAAAATTGACACAATAATTAATAGTGGTTCAACTTCCTTAATGAAGTCTAGATTCACTACCTTAGCTCCTCACTAAAGATTTCTAACAAATTAACTAATCTGTTATTTCTTTTTCTAGGCTCAATAGTAACTTTTACAAATTCTCTATCTTTTCAATGGCTAAGATAGAACCACACCCCTTTTATAAAGGATAAAATTTGTGTAAACAATAAAACCTCTACAAGATAGGTGTTTATAATTTAAGCTCACTAAAACACTCTATTTACAAGAGAAAAGGAAAAATAAGATTGAAAGAGTTTTTCTCTTGATGTAGATTGCTTGGATAGGTGTTGTAACATTCTTCAAGTGTCCTCAATTTTTTTATATGTTGTAATGAGTTTGTGATCGTTTCTAGCTGTTGAGATATTTTGGAGCCGTTAGGGACTTAATTGCTGCAAAATAAAATTGCCCAGATGATAGAGATGTGGCAACGAATAATGAACATTACTCTTCGTTGAAGAATCAAACCTAAAAATCTCTAAACTCGATCAAAGAATGATAGAATGAAAGGGAGATATGGGTAGCGACAATTAGGATTTTGGATGATTAGGGTTTGTTGGAATTTGAGTCAAAGAAATAAAAGTTAAGAAAATAAGGGGAATAAAATAGTAAAGACAACATAAAAACAAGGGTAATAAAAGATAACTAGAAGACAAAACATGTAGTGAAGAACTTATGCTTATCCCCTTTAAGGTGGACAACCAAGGATGAATTGTTGTTGGATTTTGATGAATAGATGCTCGTTGGAAAGAGGATGAAGGCAGAATGGGAATCGGATGGTCGGATTGATGGGAAAATTGATTTGAAAATTTACCCTGGTATGTGTGGGGCTTAACGCAAAACCCTAGGGTTTTGTATGGTGGGCGGAAACAATGGAGAAAGGGAAGGATGGTTTGTGGAAGATGAAATAGTTGGATAAATGTCGTATTGAACCCTCCTAGTCACAATAAAAAAGCAAACTTGACAATACGGCTCCAACCAACCTTCCTAATCGTACTGAGAAGGCAAACCAGAGTGTGAAGATCTCTCTCAAGAACTTGAAAAGAAATCAAAAGGAAAATAAATCAAAAGGAAAAGAAACTTCGAAGGCATAAGGCAATCAACTCTTGTAAAAACATATTCACATTGTATCATTATTCAAGAAAAATTGATGAATACAACGGTGGGAAGAATTTCCTTTATATAGGTGACGAGCAATACTTATTGTATCATGACTAAGTAATAAAATAATATTAAAATAACAATAAAATAAAAACCAAGATGCGTCCTAATGGCAAGGGGATGAGAGACAATGATGTGAGTTGTTGATGTAGTGTTTGATTTGACGGTGGTGATGGAATCAGGGAGTTATGTAAGATTAAAACCTTTAGCTTGATGAATGATCTGAATGAGTCTTCTAGAAGGTGAATGGGCGACAATAACTTGAGAGGCAAGGAAGTAGGCGACCATGAAGAGTATGGAGGAAATGATAAGTTATTTAGGGTTTTCATTACAAGCAATTATCCTTTTACCCTTATCCTAATAAAATAAAAGGAAAACAACTTAATATCTAAAATATAAGGAAAGAAGTAATCCATGCTTCATAATTCAACAATGGATACTTTTACAAAGGTTTTAGCAATTTAAGGAGGTTTAAACTGTTTCCAGGAATTTCTTCTTGAATAGTGTATTTTGGTCCTGGATTATCTTCAACTTGGGATATAGAGATCCAAGTAAATGTGGGAGGGGAAATGAATGGATTTCCCTCCTTGAATTCTTCTATTTCCATGTGAGCTTGAATTCCTTTATTGATGAATGCCTGGATTGAAGTATGGAGTGTCCTTTAGAAGTTTGACCCTATTTCTTGTAATTGGGTCAAGTGGAAGAGTTAGCCCATCTTCTTTGGAATTGTGGTGTATGGTGCATGTATCACCAGATCAGGGAGTATCGTACTCGAGATAGAAGTATCGGTACTCCTAATAATTTTTGAATAAAACTAGCCGTTAAAGACCATTAGGCCACACAGTATCAATATTGGGGTCATGGTATCGATACTATTATACAAAGTAGTATTGATACTCTATTGAGTATCGGTACCAAAAATGAATACTGGAATCTAAACACCTTTAAAAACAATAGACATATCGGTACTGTCATATGAGTATTGATACTTTGCTTGCCTTTTGGTATCGATATTGCAAGAACAATATTGATACTGTTCATGCGGTATCGATACTGTAAACACAATATCAATTACGTTTTGCTAGAAAATTATTCTTGTGTTTAAGTTCTTGTTTAATGGACTTCAAATTATTTTTGAAAACTTTGAATAAATTCAATCAAGTTTAAAAATATTTTACCCTTAATTTGTTATATCAAAATAGGTTCAACGGAAATCCCACCGAAGTCTGTTTTGACTGTCATCCATCCAGTGTTGCCCTTTTTTTAGTGCATAGAATGGATCACTTCCTGATTAATGATGATGTTCTCATTTAAACTTTATGGAATTCCGACATCAATTAAAGTGTGCTCAATGAAATCCCACCGAAGCCTGTAGGAAGTTTTTTTTGCAAATCAACTTTGACTGTCATCCATCCAGTGTTGCCCTTTTTTAGTGCTTACAATGGATCACTTCCTGATAAATGATGACGTTCTTAGTTAAACTTATGCCCTTTAGGAAGCTCGTTTGATGAGGTCGAATGAGAGATGGGAAAATGTTACACAACCGTCGGACGATTATCTTTGAAATCAGTTTGTAGAGGACAATACAGAGACTCATAGACCAGAAAACAACAAATGTTTTAGGGGTAATGACCATTGGTATGAGAACCAACGTAGTGCTCAGAATGGAAGCATCTATATGGTTATGCACAAACGTCTGAGTAATCATATTGCAAATAGAAGGCTCGACGACAGCCCAATTCTTTTGAAAAAATTAAGCCTGTAAACCATTTATTCCTAGGGCTTTGAGGGGTGCCATATCGAAAAGGACAGCTTTGATCTCATATTCAATACGGCAAGCAATTAAAGAAAGGGTGTCGAGTTCTTCAAGGCGGGGAAAGCAACCATGGATTGGATAAGGACCTGGAGAGGACTCCGGAGCAACAAATAAACGTAAGAAATAAAGCATTGGTTCGTCATGTAAACTGCTCTCATTCGGACACCAAATACCATCATCAAGCGTTAGGCTTAAAACTCTATTTTGACGCTTACTGATGGCAGCCTTAGAATGAAAAAAACTTGGTGTTACGATCACCAAATCTAATTCAATCTACTCTCGATTTTGGATCCACAATTGTTCTTCCTGATCAAGAACATTTTCAAGCTCCTGGAGAAGTTTGCATTCCAACACAATAAGGTTTCGTCAACGAGGAGAACCAAGGCACCGTTTCATTCCCCAAAGCCTAGTCATGAGGATTCTTTTATTTTTTCGATGGAACCAATAATATCCTTATTCCAAATGACAACCGCCTTTGAGAAATTTACAATCGAATCCGCAATGGGAAGATCCGAATTCCAATAGTCTTGGATAAATTGTTGGAAATCTTTTTGCAAAGACCACTCAAAGAGATACCGGAAGGGGGGTTAAGCCGAGTAGTAGAAGCAAGGTAAAGGGAAAGTAAGATAGGTCGATGATCAGACTTCATTGTAATGAGGTGTTCAAGAATAGACAGCAAAAAAGATTCAAACCAAGTTGTATCACCAAGACTGCGATTAAGACGGACGACGCAATTACCATAGAACCAGGTGAAACTCGGACCATGATAGCCAAGATCCTGTAAGCCGCGATCATAAACCAGGTCACAGAACGCAATTTTAGGAGAGGAAGAAAGCGCGCAACTATTCCAGTCTTTCAAAAGCAATGTTGCATTGAAGTCACCAATAATAACCCAAGGTTCTTTAACAACAGAAGCAAGAGACCTCAGGTAAGACCAGCAAGTTTTCCTTCGAGTAGTTTGGGAACTGGCGTAACGAAAGTGGCTAGAAACAGGGGTCGAGGCTGCTACACTTTATCTATAATACGACAAAGCACAAATTGATATAGATTCGATCATACCAACAAAACCAGATACCACCCGCAAAGCCAATTGATTCAACTCTAAACGAGTTCTGAAAACCAATGAGACCAATAACACGATTCGTATTAGTTTTGCTAATCCGAGTTTAAAAAACACACACAAATCGGGTTTATTGTCACAGAGGTATTGACGCGTGACCCTGATGAAGTTTCAACTACCACAGCACTGAGAATTCCAAACAAATAATTTAAGATCCATAAAAAATTGGGGGGGGGGGGTAACAAAAGAGCCAGACACGGCAAAGGTTATTTATCCATGGCCACAGGGCTCTCTACATTAACCGGGAGATTGTTTTTTGTAGCAGGCCGACTATGAGCAACATTCGAAGCACTTGCCAAGTTCAAGTTGAGCAGGTTGTATGTCAGGCGGAGCCACTTGCCAAGTTCAAGTTGAGTAGGTTGTACGTCAGGAGGAACCGGCGGTTCAATTTTAAGGTTATTTTTATTTTAACTTTATTTATAGATATCACATTCTCATAATTTAACTATTTTTTATATTTTTTAACGTTAGAATTCTATAAATTAGTCATCTAACATAAAATATTGTGTTCATTCCTATTTATATATCGTGTTTGAAATTTGAATAAACTAATGGCATTTAATTTATACTAAAATATGCATTAAAAGTTAAAAGCTCATATGACTACATTTTTTGAAAGAAAAAAATTAAACCTTATTTTATAAAGAGAGAGATAAAAACAGCCAGGTAGTTGACATATTCTTAAACAGCAGAGTGCCACACATACAAGACGAAAGGGCATAAATACTTTTGTACATCTAAACAAAGTAAATTATTAGTATTCATAGTGTATAAAAGAGAAACACAATGCAATGGGAGTTAAGTTTGGTTGATCTCTGTCACATAAAGAGTCAACATTTGAAGCCTCCACATACAAAAAGCCACAAAAGGATGATCAACACAAAAACAGCTCCTCCTACCATCAGTTTCATTTGCATATTCTGCCACCACATCCTCCGTCGCAGTTGCCGCCCTTGCCTCTGGAAGCTATCAGCCTACGATAATAATCCCAACACCATGAGTTACAAAACTATATATCTTATGAACTTACCTGGACCCTAAACAAACCCACACAAGAGAAACACCAACCTGGAATTGCAAGTTTTCTGATTTGTCCACTAGAAGTTCGATCTTCTCCCACGATCCAAAACCTGCTCAGAAATGGAATTTAATTATTGATTTCTTCACAATCAGCTACCGCGTCTATTATAATTTTCCTTTTGATAATTAAGGAACAGACACATCAGACAGTTTTAGCAAAGGAACAAGCAGATTAACACCAAATTAGCACCCTCAACAAAAATTCATAGCATAAAGTGTTCACAATCACCTCGATAATTTATTGGGAAATTAACCCCCCTCTCCTTCTCTCCAAATGAAAAGGACAGTCTGGAGTCATACAGCCACATATAATATTCATGATACTTAAGAGGCTCAATAGAAGATTAACCATAATCAAGAGCAAGAAGACAAACAGAAAGTGTCTACACCTGATATATTTTTAAGAATATGCCAGCTCCTTTCATGTTGTTCAGCAAACCAAGAACCAAAACCAATATATACTATTACCTTTAACAATACCATTTTCCATTCACTATTTTCAGCTGAACTAGAGAACCGAACACTAGCTGTTTTGCCATAGGAAAACATTCATTTCATCAGACATAGCCTTGAACTTCTAAATAGAAACTTTTGGAATGAAAAGCTTTAGGTCTTGTTGAAGTAACCCACTAAACCATATCTATGCACAGGCATTTGTACTGCCAGTAGCCAAAAAACTCCATAACATCGAAGGCACAAGAAAATAATTGGTTGGGAACTACACTATGATTGGGCTGAGACCATACCGTACGTCACTGGACTAATGCACCAGGAAGAGTAGGATATATGTCTGAGTCCTTACCACAATATTGTGCGCATAGGCAGGCATCCAGTACAGGGTTTTTTCATTCCTCCACTTAATAAATTGACTGTCAAGCTAAGCATTGAGTCAATAAATACTTGATCAATTGACCAAGTTACCAGGTAAACAAAACCAGCTTGGAAGAGTAACAGAAGGTGAAAGGATTATTATCCTATAAGGTGACGATGGAGCTCAGAAACTTGAAGACCAAAATGCGTTTATTCACTTGAAAAATGTCATTCTAACTACAAACAAGGAAGTGGAGACTCCTAATCATATATGAAGATGTGACATGTAAATAAACCCAGACGTAGAATGATACATGTTACGTACATAATCATAACTCAGCATGGCTAATAAAGTAAACTCCTACAGAAAATATAATTAAGTTATTTGAGACTAGAAAACTCATTCATATACATCTGCTGTGAAAGTCAATGCTGGAATAAGATGGCTAAGAACATTACACCAACAAAAGATGATAAAATTAGAGAAAACTCATTCATATATGCCTGTGTAAAAGTCAATACTAATAACAACAGCTACGAATGCAGAGGCAAGAAATTTACTCTGGCATTGATAAATGGCTAGAAACCATAAAATGCAGAGGCAAGAAAATTTGCAAATCAATCTTCCGGTTGAAAAGTACACTGTCGTTCGATACAGGCATAAAATGAAAGCGTTGGATATACGACTACGCATAAACATTTGAAACATAAATGTACAAAGAAGAGAAGAAAAAGTTCAATACTGATAACAACAGCTAAGATGAATGCTGAGGAAAAAAAAGTCATAAGAAGTTAAATATTTATAGACAAGTTCAATGGTAACCACAGAAATCTGTATACCAGCCACTGGAAAAAAAAAGAAGATTGTTATGAAATACTTAATCTCTACATTCAAAATCACACATTCATTTTTCCATATTTATACCACTTCTCAAGAAAATAAATACATACCTTTTCAATGTTATCCATCATAATCCCCTTCACCTCAGTTATTTGAGCTTTTAATTTTGAGAGCTTACTAATTTCTTCTGGATGGTTCATACAATATTGCATGTGTTCCTTAAGCCTTGGACTGTCATACATAGCAAGGCAATACAGGTTAGGATTATAACATCATGTATATGACCATCATAGGGCTAAGTAGATAAATGTAACAATTTAAACTTGCCAAGTATGTACGCACCCAAATTCTCTGTCAAGATTATATGCAATGCTAAATCGGTCCTCAAATAAGTCGTCGTCATCTTCATCATCAGCTAAAGGATGGGGAACCTCATTTCTTATACTTGCACCATATCGCTGTTTAAAATCATCTAGCACCCGCTCCAGAAAAACAAAAGGCACACTCCTGCCAACTGCTTCATCTGCAACAACTAGAAACACTGCAAGTGGAAACAAACACCATCAACCACATATTCTGATGTCAAAAATTTTACCAAAGACAAGAAATGTCAAGAAAAAAGTACCAAATCCATTGTCAACGAGGAAGTTAAATGTGTGACCATCACATGAATATGTGAACTTGCTGCTATTTGAAGGCAGCTTCTGCAAACATTGAACAGCAACGGTACTAAAGTTCCCAGAATACGATGTGTGCTCTGCTAAAACAACAGTTCCTTTCGCAACAAAACTATAAATCAAGCCGTTTTGATTCATTTCTCAGCTGGATATCCCAACGTATCAAAATCTGCAGATCACCATTAACTTAGCAAATCATTTATAAACATTACTACAAAATTATGCTTCTTAGCCAAAAAAAAAAAGAAGAAAAAATATGCCAAACCAAAAACAAACAAGACTGTTCAAGAGAAGCTTAAGTTGAATTTAGAAATGATAAATGCAACTGAAACTCAGTGAATCCACTGAGATTCCAATCTAACATAAGAATAAATGACTAAACAAATAGACAAATTAACTTTCCCACAATTTTGATACAGCTAATTCGTGCCTAAATATGGTAAGGTGCAACAAAGAATATATCACTACATTAACCAAATTATACTTGTATGAAGGGGGAGTGGGGACTCTTTTCGTAAGCAGATCTTCAGAAACTCAAGAACTAAAACTATGATTAATTTAACTCCCAATAGAATCTCAAAGGGGAAAACGAAGAAGCAAATCTATCTATGCTGAGTTTAAAAAAAATGGGTTTTTTCTCTTCTTCTTCTAATTTTACTAAAATTCTCAATACTTTCCCCCTAAAGTTTTTATACCCAAAGATGATTAAATGCTGAAAAAAGGACGTGGTAGATCTAATGAAATAGATGAGATAAAAAGAATTGCTAAAAAATCAAAGAAAGGAAGTTGGAAGATCAAAGAGAAGCTCACCTGAAACAAGTTGGAATTTGAATTGGATTCTTAGGCTAAAAGGAGTTATGGTGACATTGTCAAGGACGAACCGAAGCTTCTTTTAATACAAGCAAACAAACAATGAAAATGGATGATAGTTACATTATTTTTTCCGCGCGTGCGAACCACACATAGGTTTTAACATTTTCTCACGGCTTTTCGTTTTGGGTAAACTACACGCTTATTCACTGTATTTTATTATCTCTTCTATTTTACTTATCATACTTTCAGTATTTTTAATTTATTCACTAAATTTTAGAGATTAATTTTTTTATCATTCAACCGTTATCTTTTTAACTCCGTGGTGGTAATTTTTATTAAATTTTAATCAATTAATATTTTTTATATATATTTTATTATCCACCACCCAAACCACTCATCTTTTACACCGTATCATCACATTCACTGCTCAAAATATCTCTTCCCCTTTTAATATTCACATCATTCGTTGTTTTCTTAATATCCACCATCACAAAAAAGACTAAACTTTAAACACTCGGGAAACTGTTTTTCAATCACAAGCTTTCACCAAAGACTCTCATCTTCCATAAAGTTTGAAGGCTCGTCGGAAATTGTAAAGTTCCAACCCTTTCTTCATCGCCGATCAACATTTATCTTATTTGTTACGATAAATGTTCAGCTTCTCATAAACTATTCATCAAAAATTTCATCGACTTCCTTTCTCCTTCCTCGACGGCGTCGTCGTCTTCCATTTTCGACTAGTGAAAATTCATCTCCCTCTACACCGACCAAACTGGAGTCAATTTTCCCGAGCTAAGACTAGTCCACTCAAGCTTTTAAGATCAAAGGTGAGTTAGTTTACGAAGAATAGGAAGATGTAGATGGCAACCGAACCACATGCAAGAAAAGACATTAATAAGGTTACTTAGTCCCAAAGTTTCCACCAATTTGGATGAGTAGAACCACTATATAGAACTGAAGTAAAAGAAGAATAACGACTTTTTGTAATATCTAAAACTACGTCGTTTTGATTTTAATTGCTTTAAGAAATTAACGGTAGAGTGATAAAATAGTTTCAATGTCTAAAATTCAGTGAGTAAATTGAAAAAATTGAAAGTACGATGAGTGAAATAGAAGAAAGAGTAAAGTTTAGTGAGTACGCATGTAATTTACCATTTCCTTTTCTTGTAGAAAGGTCAAATTTATGTGAGGTCCCTGTATTGTATGTTTTTAGTGGAACTAGTAGTTTTATTATGATTGAATCCTTTCAAATTCCTCTACTTTTTTTCTTAGTCATTTCAGTCTTATGATTTAGTGGGTAAAAATGATGTTTAGAGAGGATGTTTTCCGATGATAAAAAAAAAGTGACAGTAGAGACTTCAATTGAGATAGACAATGATGGTGGGAGGGTGAGGCAGTAGGAGTTGAAGGTTGAGAGTGTGTGCGGTTGTAATTTAGGATTAGGGTTTAAGAATAAATTTTAAGAATTTTTATTTTTATTTTATTTTAAATGTTACATGTCATAATTAAATATCAATAAAAATATATATCAATATTATATACTAATAAAAAAAACCACTTCATCCAACTATTACAAACTTATGGTCGAGTGAGTAAAATAATTCAATCTGTAAATTTCAACGAGCAAAATAGAAAAATTAAAAATTGAATAAAGAAAATAGAAGAGAGAAGAAAATTTAGTAAGAAACGGTATAAATTTACCCTAAGAAAAAGAACGCCGATGATTTTGTATCGGGAACAAACATAGTTCCCTTCAAATCGAGTTTTGTCTTGCACCAAACGGGTCTTCAACAATAAGTTGTAGCATACAAATGTCGCCATGAAAACACCGACAAAAGGTATGCCTGAGTCTACAAGAAGCATTGCTTGTTTTGTTTTGTTTTTTTGGTATATTTCTTCAAAATCAAACGGGTTTGAAGAATGTTATTCGAAAGGTGTCCTGTAATCAAATAGCAACGACCTCAGCCGAGTCTCTGGCTGCTGACGTATCCTTTTGATGAAGTGGAACTCTTACACCCAGCTCTCGTAACCGATCCACCAGACTGTAAAGATATTCAAATGTCAACCTGGACTGAGCATTTAGATCCTCTCTAACTTGTGGCTGAAGCCTAAACCAGCCCCCTAGCATTTTGTGAACATGAGATCGGATCATCCTCCATGGGACAGGGTATTTTTCACAAAGCTTCAAATACTCCACCACCAGATCTGCCTGGTCTACTTTTCCATCTACATATTCATTCTCGTTACCAGCTACCCAGTCAGCAGTCCGGAATCCAGCAAAAAGAGCAGGATTCTCAAGAAGGGTCTCAGCTGAAAGCACACCGTCAGCGCCCGTTTCTTCCAGACAGTTTTGAGCATCTTCCATGTGCCTAATATTCCCATTGGCAAGGATTGGGATTCTAAGCTCCTTTTTAACAGCCCTAATGGCATTCCAATCGGCTCGAAACTTCTTCCCATCTTTCTCATCTCTTGTTCGGCCATGAACGGCTAAAAGAGAGCAACCAGCCTCTTCCAGCATCTTTGCATATTTCAGTGTATCCTCTAACGTAGGGAACACTCTGATTTTGCAGGAAACAGGCACATTAAGATTCAAAGCCAGTTTTTCCACTAAAGATTTCACGAGAGGAAGGTTATCCATCAAGAAAGCTCCGTAATACCCTCGTCTAGCAATCCGCTGCGGACAACCCAGATTAATGTCAACATAATCACAATAAGATTCGACTCTCCTTGCAGCTTCAAGTAATGTATCAGGATCATTTGCACAAAATTGGACAAATAATGGGTGGTCCTCCTTGCAAGTAGTAAATTCTTCTGAACGGTACTTTGGATTCTCTGTAAAAATACGCGAATGTAACATGGGCGTATACGCAGCCTCAGCCCCATATTTTCTACAAAGCATGCGAAATGGAAGCTCTGAGTTATCAACCATGGGGGCAACGATAAACTTCGGACAACCAAGCTTGGTCCAATGAGCCCATGCCCTCTCAATCCGCGAGACCACGATTAGGTACTTCCCCGGAGAACCTATAGACGACGGTGTTTCATCGAGGGAAGAAGAAGACTGTTCATCTTGGTTCTGCTGTGGGTTGGAGCAAAGGAGATCGTCGGCGTGAAAGTCAATGCTGGAATAAGTTGGCTAAGAACATTACACCAACAAAAGATATAAAATTAGAGAAAACTCATTCATATGTGCCTGCTGTGAAAGTCAATACTAATAACAACAACTACGTATGCAGAGGCAAGAGATTTACTCCGGTATTGATAAATAGCTCTGTTTTGAAAACCGGACCGGATCGGTCGATTCAACCGGTTCAACCGGAAACCGTTGCTTAGTCCGGTTCAATCTAAACCGGTTGAACCGCTATTAGTAAACCGTCCAGAACTGCTGAACCGTTCGAACCGGACCGGCTAAAAACCGAAAAAAATCGGGGGAAACCGGGATTTTTTTTTTTTAAATTAAACCAAACAATGTCATTTGTTAAACGAGCCAAGTCCAACTCGAGTATTGCTGAGCTCGACTCGAGCTTGAAAACTTTAAAAGTAAGCTCAACTCAACTCAAACTCACAAGCTAAAAATTGTCAAGTTCAACTTAAACTCGAAATATAATATTAAAACTTGAACTCAAAAATGCTTGAACTCAAAAAAAAATTAGAAGTTCGATTGAAGCCTAAAATTCGAGCTTGATTGAAGTGAAAGAATATTTCACTCAATGCTCACCAAAAAACTCCCTGATTTTGAATGTCAAATTAGCTCTATTATTTATAGAAGTTAGTTGTGATGCGCTTCTATATTTCTTAGCAATGTGAGATTGTTTTGTTTTCATATTTTTACTCTTTAGACTTTTGGGATGCTCTTCTATGTTTCTTAGCCATGTGAGATTGTTTTAAAAAAAAATTAAACCAAACAATATCATTTTGTTATGATTTTTTTAACCTCAAATTTATTTTTTAATTATAATTATATAATTATATTTATTATTTAATATTTAATATTTTTACCTTAAATATTATGTTGTAGTTAATTTGAATCATTTTGTTTCACTTGATTTTATGATTTTTAAATTATATATGTTATAACTTGCTTTGAATATGACTTGTGATATAAAAAATTATTTTTTATTAAATATTTTTGGTAATTTTATTTAATTTTTTAAATAATTATGACGTCGTCCGATTCTTTCGACCGGTCGGACCGGTTCGACCGGTTGAATCAGTGAACCGGTAGCATGACCGGTTCGTTAACCAATCCGGTTCTAAAAACCATGATAAATAGCTAGAAACCACGAAAATGCAGAGGCAAAAAAATTTTGCAAATCAATCTTCCGGTTGAAAAGAACACCGTCGTTCGATACAGGCATAAAATGAAAAGGTTAGATATAAGATTACGCATAAACATTTGAAACATGAATGTACAAAGAACAGAAAAACAGTTCAATACTGATAAAAACAGCTAACATGAATGCTGAGGGAATAAAGCCATAACAAGTTAAAAATTTATAGACAAGTTCAATGGTAACCACAGAAATCTGTATACCAGCCACTGGAAAAAAAGAAGATTGTTACCAAATACTTAATCTCTACATTCAAAATCACACATCCATTTTTCCATATTTATAACGCTTCTCAAGAAAATAAATATATACCTTTTCAATGTTATCCATCATAATCCCCTTCACCTCAGTTATTTGAGCTTTTAATTTTGGGAGCTTTTCAAGAGGAAGGAGGAGAAGGTGCACAATATGGGGAATTAGGGATTGAATAATTAGGGTTGGAGGCAGAGGAAATTGTGGATAAAGGAAGAACAGCGTATGGACTAATACTAAAGTGAGAAACAGGCCGGAGAAATATAACCCAGACCAGGAGAAACGGATGAAGACCCAGAGTGGCGCTGCACTAGATCAGGCCCAATGATGATTCAGCTCTAATATGAAACTAGCCCATGAGAGACACATGTGCAAAAAAAAATATCAGTCGAGTCGAGTTAAAAAAATTTGAATTATTTAATTTGATGAGTCTTATTTTTTGAATCAAACTCAATTTAAATTTTTTTGAAGCTATTCAAGTTTAAAAGATTCGAGTTGAGTTTCTATACAAATTTTATTATAATTATTTATAATATTATGATAAGGATTGATTCTAATTTTTTTTTAATTTTCTCTAACCATATAAGGCATATATATATATATATATATATATATATATGTATATATATTATTTTCACATTATAATGTTATTTAATGTATAAAATACAATCTAAAATCATAAAATATATTTACAATATTATATTCCAAAGAAAATATTTTGATGGTAAGGTAGTATAAAAGAGTCAATAAATTGATGAGAATAAAGAATTTATGTAACACTACAACCCGTACCCGACCCGGATACGAGTCTGAGGTGTCACATTGACTTTTCAAACTTTAACTCTTAAAGAAAATCAAAGAAATTTTAAACATTCGTTAAAATAAAAGTTGTTACTTTACATATGTTGACCAAAATAAGACAAAATCGATCAGAGCATTAGTAACTAACACATTTCTTACATGCCAACACATTATACACAAAAAAATACATACTTTATCAGTTTCTTTTGATATGATCTTCTAGTAATGATGATGTCCTTGCCACTCCTATTTCTGATCTTCTTGTAACATCCCAATTTAGGGGCTAAATTTTAGAAATTATAAAGTATTGGATTTAATTTAATATTTTGGAAAAAAATGAGGATTTAATTGTAAAATCATAAAGTTGACAGATCATTTTAAGAAGTACATGAAGTTCAGTGGCTAAACTCATAGTTTACCCATTTTTCTTTTATAATGAATTATAACCTCCTCCCGTATGTTTTTTTTTTCCAGATTTTACCATTCCCCTCTTCTCCAATAACCCTCTTTTCAACTCCGATCTACTCGTCGTCCGACCTCCGATCGACGAACTGAAACCACCATCATGTTCATTGTCGATCGAGGAACAAAACTCCTCAAACCTTTCGTCGTGAATTGTCGTCGTTCGTCGTTAATTTCAGTCGGAAGTATCGTCGGTAATAACTCGATTTCAGTTGTTTTTTTATCGATTCACGACGATCCGATCATCCGTTTACGACACCTCCCACACCATCGTGTTCCTTGCATCGTTCCGAGTCCACCGGTGTTCTTCGTTTCTCCGTCGACTCCAGCACGTGGAGGGGTGAGACTGTCAAAGTTTCCGATGTTTCGGAATCGAGCTCTCCGCGATTCAAAATTATGAACCGAGCTTTGTAAGTGCCTCAAAATCGCTTAAAATAATTTTTAGGAATTTTCCGACACCGGGTTACTCTTCACGCGCCGCATGCGCCACCCCCCGAGAATGGGCATCGTCTGGGTGTTAATTTTGTAATTAATTTTTGTTTGGGTGTTATTTGTGTAAAATTCGGTGTTAGTTTGGTAAATATTTGTAGAATGTGGCTAATTTGGTAATTAATTTCTGTTAGGGTGATATTTGTGTAAATTGGTCGACTGTTAACCGCTGACCGACGTTGACCACAACTGACCAGAACTTTGATCGGGCATTAAACGACCTTTGACTTTGACCGAGTATACATATCATGTCGTTTTTAGGCGCTCCAAATCCGATTTTGCAGTCCGTTTTTCGAAATTCGGACCCGAAGGCCTTGAAATTGCCAGTCAAACTCGTTCACTTTTATTTTGATCGAAAATTCAAAATTTCCGAAATGACATATTTTATGCTTTCGACGTCCTGAATCCGAATCCGAAGTATGTTTCACCAAATTCAAACCCGGTAAGTTGTTTTTCACTGATTTATCATCCGATTCGATCTGTTTTTCAGAATTAAGCTCTGTTTTTTTATATAATTTCTATTGATATAGATCCGAGGAAATATTGGATGATGATTTCAAGATCGAGGGCATTCGAATGCAATTTAATGGTCGATCAGTATTGCACGGAAATCGAGGTAATACTTTACTACTTCTTTATGCTTTATGGAACATGTAAATATTGGTAAATGTATGAATTAGATAATGTTGGACTCATTTGTGTAGTTAATAAATTCTTACACTCGATCCGAACACAATAGAAATTTGGCAACTGATTATGGTTCAGATGATTAATATAGGAGATTGAGAGATTGTTAGAATTAAATTATAAGTTTTGTGATTAGTGATAAAGAAATCAGCCCTGGATTTGTAACTTATATGTTATATCAACAAAGGTTAAATATTAAAGATACTCAGATGAGAAATTATGAGAATACTCTGGTTGGGTAAAATTATGAAAATACCCTTATATTGTAAGATGACAAGAATTATCCCTGGAAGTTGGTTAATAACTCTGAAAAGACAATTTGATCCGGTAAAAATTACTGATGTGCATAAGAAATGTTAGTTTTGCTTAGGAAATACGGATAACCGGTTTTTAACCTATGAGGGTTTGAGCAAGATGCTAGAAGTCTGTTAAGGAATCATTTCAAGATCAGAGAATGTTCGGGAAAGTAATTAACCATAGGATCTTTAAGTTATAATTATTTTCGTTAAGAGCTAATATCGAAATTATCTGGTTAATAAATTATGAAAATGCCCTTGAGAGATAAAATAGTCTGAGTTGACCCTGAATGGGAAACTACTTTGAGGATTTGTACTTAACTCGATTGAGTACGAATTTAATTGTTAAGATCCTGTCTTTGTACAGAAAAATTCATGATATTTCGTTTGTAAAATCTGAGAAGGCACTTGATCCGAAAATATTCGAGTAATGAGTAAATACCAGAAGAATAATTTATCGGGGGTATTATGTTGTCAGAATTGTTCGAAAGGACTGAAATAAATAATAAGATTGGATTTAATAGTAAGATCGGACGGAAGAAAAGGATTAAAATACACTGAATCTATAAAATGGCCAAAATACCCCTGTAATGGAAATGACCCAAGAATATCACCAAGCTCAGGAATGATTGGAAATCCTCGAGCTCTAAAATGAATGGAATAAAACTGAACACCAAAATTACCAAAATAACCTTATGGCCTAAACTAAGTAAATGTTTTGGATTAATTAAGAAATCTAAATAAGTATAGGTATTGGACTACCTTTAAAAGTAATAGAACTTAATTTAAGTGAGTAGATTAACCCTAAAGCTATGTCAATACCTGAATGACATAGATATTACTAGAATGTGTGTTTGTCTTCTCAAGTTTGGCTCGATGATAAATTTTGGAAGTATTCAACTCAGCTCAACTCTAGATCGCATTCAGTACTAAGAATTGGACGTCTGTTTGACAAATCAACCACGAAGACCAAATTGAATGAAACAGAAGTACAATATGTATCTGAAATTCAAGAACGTTTGAATTACTCTGGAAAATCCTGAAGTAACTGGAATGGACTTGAATGCTAAATAAATCAAGTAACCTCAAGGACTGAGGATTAAATAAGTGATTTGAATGGGTCTGGAAACGTTAATGAACATACATGATGTAATGTTCTTATAAAATATGTACTACAAATCAAGCACGTTAGCATTTCATGATATCGTGGAAGCGTGGAAATGAAATAAAGAGCATTGAAATGTCTGTTAGTTTCCTTAAGATTTATTTAGCGGTGATTCCGAAGATTATATATGGACTAAAATTTGTGGTATTAAAGTGTAAATACCCTGTAAGGACAATGAATTGAACAGTCGATAAGAATTCTAATTCATTTGTTGGTAGGAATATTACTAGATTATTACAGGAATATATAATAGATTATCTAGTATATATATATACTGAAAGCTCTGAACGGTGATTCTTTTGATGGGGTATATATATATATATATATATATATATATATATATTAAAAGAATATGTATCTTTTTATTGGTTTTACAGGAATATACTAGATAATCTATTCCGATCTCTTGAACTCAATCATTCGAAATATTTATCTGAACTGAAAGCTCTTTTTTCGTTAACATCTGAAAAATCAGTAGGATCTCCGATCAGCATAAAAATATATAGATGTTCGGAAATAATAAAAAAACATATGTTTATATGTATTTGCAAGTTCTTCAGCATCATCTGGTAGTTCTGTATTACTGAGCTTTCCGAAGCTCACTCTATTACTCAACATTACAGGTTAAAAGAATTGTATCAGTGCAACTATCGTCATCAGTATGGGAGTTCTTCCGGTGTTGCTTCCAAATAATGGTACATATGATTAGGGGGCATGTAATTGTATTTTGATTTATATACGATTATGAAAATCTGTTTTATTTCTGCATACTGATAAATCATTTTATAAATTACATGTTTTAATAAAAGTTCTAAATTTTTTGCCATTTTTACAGTGGGTCGCTCCGGTGGCCCTGATGTGACAACCCAGATCGGATCGGGTTACCCGCATAAGTCTGGGGGGTTACATTTAGTGGTATTAGAGCTATGGTTTGAGTTAAAATTTTTCAAGATAGACCGGCCGGTCGAATTTCAAATCAATGTCTAATCAGTACATGCCCCTAAACTACAATCGTACCTCTCTAAGCCGGAACTCCAAGGTTGAGTCCCTATCTGTAACGAGTAAATCAAAGTTTCTATTCGTTAAGGCTATACTTGTACAAAAAGAAATACTAGTAACATCTGTCTAAACGCTGTAAAGTACCTCACGAGCCATATGAGAGTTAATTATCCGTGAAATGCTGACCCGATTCCAGAAATGAAATTGGGATATGTTGTTGCTCTATGAGCCTATTCACGTAACCAAGGCTGAATTGATTTCG